TCAAAAAAACGTCATATTCGTAAATATTACATATTTTTCCATAACTTATAACTATAGCCAGTATCCCTTCTGAATTTTCAAAAAAATCGAACCACCCTAATGTATATTCACATAGCTATGTTCACAGCTCAATACAACATGTCTCTTTTTTGTAGTTTTTGTAAGAGAAGTAAAATGTTGTTTGTGTGTGATGCACACATTTCCAAACTAATTCATAATAAAAATGAGAGCATGAAATTATAAACACATCACTTGTCGATTGATATAAATGAACGAAACAAAGAGAAGAGAGTGATTTTTATGCATAACACATGCTGTAAGGCAATTCATGTGGTTATTTCTTGCATTTCAACGGCTTTATTTACAGATTTGATTAAATCTTAACAAGTTTTTTTGACATCTGAGCGACAAAAGTTATCATCCAATTCAACGACAAATATATTTCAAACGAATTATATTTAGTCATTTTTCTTTGCTCATATGAAGCAAATTGTGTGACGTTTGCAAAACATATGTTTCTCAAATTATGAGCATAAACACATTTAAATTAAATCAATCTAACGTGAAATCATGTGTCATTCATTATTTATCTTTGTATCATTTATTTTGTACGTAGTTTAAAAAAATCATTTTTTTTTTATTCGCAAAATTTATTTGGAATTCGATGAAATGTCCGTAATATCTTTCGATTGCTATGAAACACATATTATATAATCATCAACTATGCCTTGTTCTCGATGCTAAATTAAAGAAGATAAATAAATTTATATTATTATTTTGATTTTTTAGACCACTTTGGTAAGCCGAGTAAATAATTTATTCAAATCCAATCGAAATTATCATGTTTACTGCATTATGGGCTCAAGCTTGTTTTGGTTCGGGATTCTAGTAAATGGATCTATGTCTTTGGAGGATTTCTAGTAAAAAAGTGCCAATCCGATAAATACATTTATACACCTCATGTGAAGCCTTTTTATGTAGCTGCAACCAAATCCAAGTCCATACATCACAAAAACTTCATTCATATACATACCAAAATATTTATGGCTGTAATTTGTAAGATTTACCACCCCTGTCGAATACAATTTGAGTAAAATGCTTACACTAAGATAATTACTATTTTGAGTCTGATATTTTTTCATTCTTCTTTACAATGACCGAAGAAGATTTGTTTAATTGCTTGACATTACTTTGAATGAGATTTTCGAGTCGTACTCAGAACTTGAAGTGCATATCTTACCATTCGTACCCGTTCCAGCTATTTTATAAATCGTAATAATTGAGCATTTTGCATTCATTCGTATTTGTCTCACAATTGAAGTATGTAATTTATATTGTTTATCAGTAAATTGGCAAATGTTTTCTCCCTCATTAATTTAAAGGCATAGTTCATTTGTGGTAACAGGAGATGTTTCTAATTCTATTCTAAGCAGGAATGTTAAAGCACGGTTTAATATAAATTGCGCATTAATACAAAATGATTTGTCAAATTACGTTATGTATACACTCCAGCAGGTAACTTTATTAGCAATATTAATCAAAAAGCACTTCGAATTTTCTATCCAAAGAGTATTTTTAATGCAAGATTTCAAACGCGGACAACACAAACAAACGAACGAAAAACTAGAACGCATCAACACCCTCGCTTGTTTATAACACCAACTGAATCGATTACAGTTCACTAAATTGATCGAACTTTTAGTTATCAAAATATACGAGCAGATTTGGGCTTTGGAGTACCTAATTTACATTAAAATCATTAAGCATTATAAGATACTTACGGGATGTTCGTCCTCAAATAGCGTACTCAGACAAAGAATTTCACTAAAGTGCATTCAAATGTGTATAGAAAATGGAAGAGAAAAAAACGTATTTTAGTACGAATGTATGTGTGTGTGGTTTCATGTTCGTAATGTGCGCGTACAAAGTGCAAAGTGGCAAAGCCAACGTATGAATGAGAACAACGAATACGGCCAACAATAACAGTCTAAAAAAGTATTTTCGCTACATTAAAATTTTATAAAGAATACTTTTCCATCCTTTAAAATATATGTCACATGGTATTTTTCCCAAACATCACTTACTCACTTATGTGGTATCGTATTAAATAGAAGGACGAAATTGTTAACGTAAAAGGGAGAGTCCTTTTGATTTTTTATGTGTCATCGTACTCCTGTTCGCTAGTCATGCTTATTCGAATTTCAGCTCCAGCGTCATAGATAATAGAAACAGTTTAAGATGCAAGGTTCTTAAATCTTTTACGCTTTGTGATATCTCTCTTGTTTCGTATGTCACCAAATGTAACAATTCTTTCTTGAGCTAATGTTTTCTAATTATAGGAGTAAAAGACTTTTCTTTGGCAAAACAAAATACTGTGCACACATGACTTTCTGTTAGATTCAATTTCGAAAACCAATTCAAATGAATGTATCCAAATTTTTTCACGCCATTAAATTAAATGTATCTTTATTACGGCGGCCGAAGTATTTATGATATATTCAGCAATGTGTTTGTATTCTAAATCGAAATTGTTGACGAAATCAAAATTCAATGATCATTTTAATACCACGGTTTATACACAAACACAGACCCACAGTGCATTCATTTTAGAGTTTTATTTATTCAGAATAGTATTGTGTGATGCGTTTTAAGCATTGATTCGTCAGAGCGAAGAACATCAAATCAAATCAGATGGTTGAGAGCAAGCAAATAAAATTGTTCAACTCATTATAAATAAATAAATTTGATAGATATATTAAGAAAGAAAACCAGTAGATACGCCCAAAAATATAAAATATTCGCATACTGCGTAAAAATAAATCCGTCTCTATTTCAATTACGATTGGAAAATAATAATGTTGGTATAGATAGTAATTCAAGGGCAGCTATTTTATCAGATGTAATTTATCTATTTGTTTGTATGTTCCATCTTATTGAGCACAAAATTATTGCCAGAGTGACTGGTCTAGGGATGATATCATTCAATCGAACTCGGTCTCTTTATGATTTAATCTTAATCAGATCAGAATGGGAACATTGTTAAAAGTAAGAAGATATCATTTACTTTGGTTACCGTTTAACACTGTTTGAGCAGAAGTGACAATGTCGTGTGTGCTGCACGTGACTTATTTTTTAAATGTATTCAATTTCATGGTTAAATCACTTCATGTGATTTTCTCATTACTTCTGATTGGATTTGTACACAATTCTCGATTCATTGACGACAACAACGCACCGTATAGCGTTTAGTCTTGAAAACAGTAGTTTGACAGTATATTAGCACAGTGCGGAAATGAATGGGAAAAAAGAAGAGCAATATTTATAACGAATGTAGTGGTTCAGAAATCTAATTTGAAAATAATGTTAAGGGAATGAGCGTGACATTATCTATGCTTTTTTTTCAACGCACCGATGCGAAAACGAATAACCATAGCCCATAATAAATTATTGGCGTGTGGAAGCAAATTATGTCACAACACCACCAAAATGTGACTAATTGCCTTGAATGTAGAGGAAAATAATTTGCACAACTCTTATGTTGAAAAACCTTCCATCTATAGTTACAAGGATGGATTTCATTTATTTGGACATTAATGAGTGTACTTAGACTTCATGTCTGTTAACGCGCGATTATAAATTATTGTTGAGAGATATCTAAAATGCACATTTCATACAAAATCTATCAGATTATAGGACAATGAATATACATTGAAGAAATTCCATACAATTGAGTTTAATAAACTATATAATTCTTTGGCTATTATGAGCATTTTTCTGGAATATGCCATTTTCTTACACGGACGTTATAAAATTTCAACACGGAAGAAATGAAGAAAATTGAAAAAACAATGTACCAGCCTCAAACAATAGTAAAAAATATTTATTTAAAATAAAAAATACGAGAAATGTTTCTCCAAATGTGATAAATAAAACGCACACTATATATTTATAGAAAAAATTATTCATGCAACTCGACACAGAAATATGGTTAGTATATGCATATTTTTGTGGATGCGCTATGACAACATTTCATTCACTCCTATGCCACTTTTAACCCCGATGTCTTATTCTGTTGATGTTTGTGTCGCATGTGTTCTTATTTTCACATAAATGTATTCGGGATTATGGGTTCAAATTCGATGTGTGTTCGTTCATATGATTGCTTACCGAACGAAATATTTCGGGAACATTTTATTTTGGAATCTTCAATATCAAAATAAATTCAGCAAATTCACCCCAATGACGGATACAAATTAAATGAAGTCAAGTGTAAAATTATAAATTTAGTTCGCACTTTACAAACAAAAATATTCAATTATGTGAAACGAATTTATAATCGGATTTCCAAATGACAATGGATGGCAAAAGAAAGGCATCTGAATTAAATTCGAATAAAAAACAACAACAATGATAGTATCGTTAAGGAAAGAATGGATGTCTGTGTTTGTATGTGATAAATACAAGCTGAATTGTTCCCAATTTATTTATTTATTTGACGTGGACGAAAATGTGAAAAAAGCGCTTTGAGTTACAATTATTTATTTCGGAATATTTTTAATGTATGCACTAATAATACATACACAAAGAAAAATAGTGAATTTCAAGAGTGAAAATATTAATGTTGAGAAGGGGACTGACTTTCAACTAAATGTAATCATTGACGCTGTTTTGTTTATTTTGAAATTTTTACACAATGTAAAATCAAAATTTTATTGACACAGAATTACATATACTGACCTTTTTTATTCTTCTTATAAAGTTGTAAAAATGAAATAGAAATACTCAGCTGAAAATGTTTATCAACCGAAATTGTAGTTTAAAGATTGATGTTTTTTATTTCCTTTTTTGGTAATTAAATCGCATTTTTATTTCAAAATTTGTTTCCCTTATGAAAAACAAACAAAAAGAAAAGCAAAAAATTACATACGAATTATGAAATAAAGAAATGATTTTAATATAATAATTTAAAAAATGTTGTTTATGATAAACAAACTGTGGATTTCATTTTCGATTCACTGGTATGTTACTTTTCTTCATAATTAGTACAATTTATACAATTTGCTTTTAGTGATGTCTTTTTTTCTTCATGAAGATTCACAAAGTAAACGTACGAGTGTGTGCGTGTGTGTGTATTTCTTAATGTCTGCCCAAATGTTCAGTATAAATATCAAACATCGATATGTGTCATTTTCTTAGAGAAAACTGCTTTTTATGTAATGGATAATCATTTCGTCTATTTTAGTGGTTGATCACAATTTTTACAGGACTTTTCAATTAAAAACTTTCCCATCAAAGTTTTTTGTGTTGTTTCCCTCATTCCTTTCATCCCTTTATTTTTAGTTTTTTTCGATGTTTCTTCTTGATTCCATTCATTTTTTTTGTTCGTTCGAATTATGTAGATTATTTATGTTGCTTGCACTTTTTGTTTAAAATTCAGTCACTAGCTACTCAGTTTTTGGTTCGCACTCATATTGATAAAATTAGGCGAGAATGTTTATGTGTGAGAATGTCCCAAGTGGTGAGCACTTAAATGATGGAAATACGGTCCATAAGGAGGATAGGGTACCGCATGTGGATAGAGAAGACCTCCAGCATAGCCAGAAGGACCGAATGCACCGCTCGATGATGATGGTGGCACTGTTGGACTATTTACATCCATTCCTGGATTCTGTTTTTTCCATTTTGTTCGACGATTTTGGAACCAAATTTTAACCTATTTTTCATAAACGTGAATTTTAAGAAGACAAAAGAAAAACAACGAATTAATTCACGACTATTATCAATTTATCGAATTTATAATGTTTGTTAACAAATTCTAGGACGGCTTACTTGTGTTTCAGTAAGACTAAGACTTAATGCAAGGTTAAGGCGTTCACACACTGATAAATATCGTGTGGTTTTAAACTTATTTTCTAATGAGACCAATTGTTCGTATGTAAATGCAGTTCGTGCTCTGAAATTAAGAAAAAATAACAACTTTTATGATTATTATCGATACTAAATGTTTGTTCTTTTTTATTACCTTCTTGGTTTTGAGCTATTTCCATGTGACTTACTCTCATTTGAACTTCCGCGCGAAGTTCCACGTGAACCTTCTTTTTTGGAATCTGTCTCGCTAGCTCGATCATCAATATCGCTGCACATTACATCATCGCATTCATCCTGGTCATCATCATTAATGTCACCAACTAAGCCAAGAAAAAAATAATAACAACAGAAGATTGCAATTTCTAATAATATAAACAACCTCATAGTTTGTGCACAATGTGCCCAATAAAATGCATGAATAGATTATAAAACAAAATGTATGCGGTTTATTTTATCTACCCCTGGAGAACGTTGGCCAAAAATCTAAGCTCTACAAAATATGTAAAAAATGTAATCGATACAACTGATCGCGAGTCTATCAAATTGACATAGAGATGCGAAGTGGAGTGAGAGCACTGTGCATATAGCACAAAAACTCTCTAAAATACATAAACCGGAAAATTTAAATAATTTGATAGGATCAATGAACATTACTGGTGTGTATTGATTTGAACGCACTACATTCGAAAAACAATATGATTTGGTTGACGATACGGATGAAGGGGGTGGTCACCAATGGAATTTTTGGTCATTGGTTAAAAAAATACGTACACATACTGGATTGTTATTCACAGGCAAAGCCCACATGAAATTAATATTGGATGTAGCATTTTCCGTCCTGTGTTTAGCGTTAGTGACCAATTTAAGTTTCAAATTCAAACATTGGACATGTCAGTAGACTCAACGAACGAATGGGGAGCAAACAAATGAAACATGAGAGAAACAATAAATCACATGTAAGTATATATACCATTGCAAATTCAATACGAAATCCAAACGACAGACGGCAAATCAATTTAAAATTGAAATTAATTGAGAGGATCAAACCATTGCGATTGCACACACTTGTCGGCGGTTTGACACCATCCGGAAAATTATGTTAAAGCTTTGGGGTCGATTACTGCTCATTTATTACGCTACATATACATTACGTTGTGGTCGCATCACACATGATACACGCGAGAGCAACAACTAAATTCAACATTGAATCGCGCAACCATACCCAATCTTCCAAACATGTAAATTGCACCTGCATTATTTCTGCTGACCACACATCGTATCAATTTTGTGCATAAATAGAATTAAAAACAAAATAAACTCTTCTCTAGTCTCACGTGCCGCGCAAAGTAAGGTGTGAATGTTCGGTTTTGTGTAAGGGTGCTATAATTGAGTATTTCTAGTTTTCAATCACACTGTATCGCATTCGCTTTTTTATTCAATAAATTGAAAGTTTAAACAGACCAGTTCTGATTAAGAACTGATATTATTGCTAAACTTCCTTTCGACTTATTATTAATTCAAAGCAAGTCCGCCATAGGTAAAAAACGCAAATTATTTAACGTTAGGCTTTTTTAAACATTGCCTACGCTTGATGTAATAATAAATTGATTGCAAATTCTTTACAAGCCATGCAGAAAAGGGTTTAACGTGTTTTACGCATCCTTAAAAAACATTTAATGAACCATTTATGTTTTGAGTTTCGAAAAGTTATAATCCTTAGACCCATTACTTTGCTACTATCGCTGTCATCTTTTTTTCTCTCTTTCTCTCTCAAAACCACTAAAATATACAAACTTATAAATAAAGAACTCATTGCTAGTACGTGAGTTCGTTTTTTTGTTGTCTGTATGTTGTTTTGCAGACTTCTTCAACTAGATGAAAATGAAATGGTAACCGCTTCTTTGTGACATTGTTAAACTATTTAAGTGGCACGAGATGATATTCTGAATATAGATTTCCGTTTAAAGTATCTTTCTATATTGTCTGTTGGTGGTCTGTTAAAGGATGAACACGCGTTAAACATTAAGAGATTTTGGCTGTTTCTGCCGTCAAATTGTAACAAATCCATTTCCGAATGAAAATAAAAACAGATTTTCCAGTAAGTCGGCCAACAAATGTTGCCTAATGATTATGTTAAAGGGTAATTGACAGGGGTTCAGCATCTGTTAAAATGCTTGAGAAAATGGTCGCACTTAAAGCACTGAAAATGAATTTACAATCTTTTGCCAGATTATTTTGTCTTACACGCAAGGAATTTAAAACCATTCCGATAAATTATTTGAATCTAAAATGCTAACAGGTTAAAAGTGGTTACAATTAATTGCTAGACGCATAATTCGGTGCAGACTTTTTAACAGTTGTATTATCTGAATGCACGAACAAAATTCAACATGTTTTGTTAATTCAAATCTATTTTTGTTAATTTTTTTTAATCTTACACCATTTTAATCTTCGAAAACATATCCAAAACGATAAAAGAGACTCTTGAATATAATTGATATCACTTAATAATACATGCTTAACAATTGCTTCTAGCTATAAATCATCGACGAATTGAAGTCATTTAAAAAGTACATAGGAAATTAAGTTGAATCCATTTCGAGGAAAACGAATTGAAATTTATATTCTGTTACATGGTGGTTTTATAAAAACTTTTCTACAAATTATTAGAAGTCAAACCAAAATTATTTAAAGAAAACTTCAAATGCTAAAAAGGCAATGAATCTCAGAAAACAAATATAAGAAATACTTCAAGAGAAATAAACATTAAATTAATCAACACTAATAATTTGATTATTTGCCAGTGGATTGAAAACAATGTCAAACAAACGCGACAAACTCAGTTTATTTTGAAAAATGTAGACTGACTAAATATTGCTCTTCAACTAATAGATTTAATCTTTAAAATTATTAACATTATGATTCAAATAAACTACCTGATTGACATTCACTTTGATCATCGTCAATTTGATGTCGATCATCCCCGTCAAAGCCATTATTCAGCCAAATCCGCGCACTATTTTGGTTCTCTTTACGGCTACAGAATTTATTTGGGTCTAAGATATTTTCGACGGAAAAGGCTAGCTTTCGGCACGAACTTTTGTCCGTATTTGGAGTTGTCGGTGGTATTGTACGAGTTAAATCCACTGGACACGCCTGTTGATCAATAACCAAAATGTATATAATAAAAATTTAGCAAACATTTTATTTTGTATATAATCGAATAACTTTCATAAAAATCGATTTATTTATTTTTTTTCGTGACCGACGGGGAAATTAAAACTCACACTACTCAGTGGTACCACATATTTTATTTGCAAGGGCGTCGACAGGGGGACATCGCAAATTTGGCACACTGCTGCCCCCGAAGGTTGTCGGGTGAACTATGATAACATAGCCATGTATGATGCTGAAGTTCGATTTAAGGCATTCGAGAAGTGAGCCAATATGAAAAACCCGGTTTTGAATGGAGGTGTTTTTTACAGACAATATATTGGGCTGAATATTCATTTGAAATTAAAAGAAATAGCACGCTATTTTTGATAGAACAATAGAAGTGATTGTTATAAATATTGCACCAACGTAAGTATTTTATAACCACAACAATCACTTCTATTGTTTTATCAAAAATAGAGTGCTATTTAGTTTCATTTCAAATGAATATTCAGCTCAATATATTATCTGTTTTTTTTTTAACACGCATCTCATCCAAATTCATTTTTTTTTTTTAAATAACCCAAGTCAGTATAATACTCTTTTCGAAGAGTGTACACTAGGGTGTTTCCACATGAAAAATATTAAAAAGTGGCTATTATCATTTTGAAGAGCGTTAAATTCTGTATAAAATGATTTGATTTTTGATACTGATTGGTTGCCGATGTCACTTCCTGGACTTAAAACACATTTGTAAATTGATTTCATGTCGCATTCACGCCAAAATCTGTAATTGATGAAAATATAAGATTGAACAAAATTAAAAACATGAAAAATAATTTTAATATCAAAATAATTGCCTAAATATTAATAAAAGTAACACAAAAACTAACAATTTTACCACAATAAACCAAAACAATGCAAATTCGCCAATTCATTTGACAGAATGACATTTGAAGCGTGATTCGCTCACGCATGACAAATGACAGGTTATGTGTCAAATGAATTGGCGAATTTGCATTGTTTTGGTTTATTGTGGTAAAATTGTTAGTTTTTGTGTTACTTTTATTAATATTTAAGCAATAATATTGATATTAAAATTATTTTTCATGTTTTTAATTTTGTTCAATCTTAAAATTTCATTAATTACAGATTCTGGCGTGAATGCGACATGAAATCAATTTACAAATGTGTTTTTGGTCCAGGAAGTGACATCGGCGACCAATCAGCATCGAAAATCAAATAATCTTATACAGAATTTTACGCTCTTCAAAATGATGCTAGCCACTTTTTAACATTTTCCATGTGGAAACACCCTAGTGTACACGCTCTTCGTATAGTTTTATTCGACTCCCTTCTCACACTCTTCTCACACTTTTGCATAAAACACGTATATTGTTTTTAACTGAGCTTCAATTTTTTTCTCTAAAAAAATTTCTTTTTTTTTCTTTATAATAAATTTTTCCACTGATGGATAATTTTTGATTTTGTTAATTTTTGACATTTTGAAATGAACGTATACAAAAAAATGAATTAGCTGTTGCAACAGCAATTGTCGTTCTGTTGTATTTTGACACAGCTGACGAATGCTATAAACGTCAAAAATGTTCAAATATCAAAATACAAACATTACTTCCACTGGAATGCAGTGACAGCAGTGATAGCATTACCAATACCATTACACACTCTCTTCTCACTCAATATACGTGTTTTATGCAAAAGTGTGAGAAGAGAGTGAGAAGAGTGTGAGAAGGGAGTCGAATAAAACTATACGAAGAGTGTGAGAAGAGCGTGTACACTCTTCGAAAAGAGTATTATACTGACTTGGGAATGACATTTAATATTTACTTCATAACGAAATTCGTGATGAGATTATGATTCAAATGACCCAAGAATGTTTTTTTACACAATTTTATAAATATTTTGCTTAGCAAATTTTATTTGACCCTTTGATGCGCATTTTTCCAAATCTTCATCAAAAAAGATTCACACAGAGACAAAATCGAGCAATAGACTAGTAATAAACTACATTTCAGAATAGTAGGTTTGTAAGGGAACCAGACAGGGACAAATGATAAAGACAGGGCACGAATTTTCGCAATCTTCTATCCAATTCTGCATTTTTTAAAGCTCCATTACAGAGTTTCACTCAGCGCTACTGCCATACACAAAATAAAAATATATCTTACTGAGAATGCGTGGTATATCGCATGCGAATATACGTAGGCTTTTACACATCACATATGAACATTCACGATTATATGATTCAATGCACACAAATGAAAAAGAATACAATCTTTTCGTTTGTATGTATTGAACCAACCATCATTTCGCTTTGCTGTGTAAACTCATCGAACCGTGTGCATGTTGACGGACGATGCACTCTCAGCAAGATATTTTTTACGCTGTGGATGGCAGCAGCGCTGAGTGAAAGAATGTTCTATTATGAAAATCGAGATGGTACTTTTATACATTTGGTTGAAATTGGTGAAAAAACGAAAATCTATAGATTTGAAAGGTATTTTATAAAGAATTTCGGAAAAAAGAATCTTGCTCGCTTATTAATCTATACATACAAAATAATAACTTCGTTCAATTCAGATGCGTCCTAGGATTCATCGTGTAGTTTTTAAAAAAATCGTTTGGTTCGCAAAATTATGAATGTCAAATTCTCATAACGAACAACTATAGGAAGAGTCATCTGAATACAAATTCTAAACGAATCATCTAGTTTTGAAAAGTTATTATTTTGTATGTACCTTTGAAGTAAAATATCACCCAGGAATGCTTGCCCAATTAAACTTTATATGTTTCAAACTTCACGTTTTGTTTCGTTTGCTGCTTTTTATTTGTGAACAAGCAGTTCGAAATATTCATTGCTTCAATGAATTCTTCATACACTGTAAAACCGATGGGATTAAAAATTAATATTTTCGGATTTTTTATGTATAAAAATCCAAAAGGATTAAAATTTAAATCGATATTATCACAAAAATCATGCGCATAGTCTAGCGAGCACCAAAAAACATCATCTTACTCTCTTCTCTGTTCTCTCACTTCATACGAAATTCGTATTACGAAAGAACAATAACAATTGTATGGCTGAACTCAACGGCAGCAGCATAGAAGGCTACCACTACAAGCACAAACAACGTTGTCGTTCGTATATTACATGCTTCCACTGACTCGCCAGCAGAAGTGATGCGTGTGTAGTAGTTGACTTTTATATAGTTGCCGTTTGAGTGTAGCCATACAACTGTTGTTCTTTCAGAGAACAGAGAAAAGTGTAAGATGATGTTTTTAGCGCTCGCTGAACATTGCGCATGATTTTTGTGATAGTTTAGATTTGATAATTTTGATTTAAATTTTAATCCTTTTGGATTTTTTTAATCCATTTGGATTTTTATATATAAAAAATCCGAAAATATTAATTTTTAATCTCATCGGTTTTACAGTGTAGCAATATTTTTCATAATTGAAGTTTTCGCTAAATTACTAGTGTTGGTCTTAGTGAATCACGGCTTGTGTTTTATAGACAATTTTACAAAAAATTCGGCTCACCTCGCTCGTAAATAATTTATTACTTATTTTTGGATAAAGAGTTGATATTCTGTCAACTATTTTTGTGGAGTGTTCAAACATAATTTCGATTTTTAAGAGATATTTTGTTATTAGAACCTTTCTGATCGTTTACAACTAACCTAAGGTTTTTAGCTCGTTTAATGTAACATTTTCAATCTCTAACGTTATACCGCCCCAATTCGAACAGATAAAATATTTACATGTAATGTGCGCTTCATATTTGTAAAAAATTGTAGATGCAACTAAAATCATGCAATACTCTCCATTTGATTGTTTTCTGGCCATGAGAATAAAGGACTTTTAGATCTTTTTTGTTGGCTTTGCTATTGCGTTAAAAATATAATCATAAATCTTATGATTGTGTGTGGACATGAAAAATTCTAATATACACTTAAACTATTGTTAATTGTATTTAGCTTTATTGTTGGCATTATCAGTATTAGAAATTTTACTGAGGGTCCGATTTGTTTTTGCTCGTCGGTTAAAGGGCTAAAAATCATTGCGTCTGGTAGGGAAATAATGAAATTTCTAAAATGACCGATTATATAAATGCTCATAAGATTGATTAGTTTTGACATTTTTAAGCGCCTGGTCATTTTGTGAAATTTTGTTGTTTAAACGGTGTAAAAACACGATGTTACAGGGGAAGTTACAAAAAAATGTTGGACATCACATTTCAACGATTTAAAATCTATCAAAAACAATAATTGGCACCCTGTATTTAGAAGGCTTTCCTTACAGCTGATTTTAAACATTGTCTTTTGGCCTCAGCATCATTTTTCAGAATCATCAATTTTCAGAAAATGCGTTACAATCGCCAAAACATTTACTTTTAGCCGTTGTGTATTCTTTTATATCGGCCTAGGAGGGAAACATCATTAGCTTTTTTCATAGAAAAATTAGAATATTAGAAAATATTTGCAAAAAATTGGCATGAAATATAACAAAACTAGCGTTTAGTAGCATTGGTATTTGTCGCCCAGATAGCCGCCGTAAGAAAAGTGGCTCATATACAGGGAATTGGTTGTCTTAAGAAAATAAGACACATTTTAGGAATGATATAATCCAAATGCTTAAAAAAGATCAAACGAGAAACATGCTGATTAAAAGTAAATGGAAAATACTAGTTGAAATACACATATTGAAACACATATTATGAATAAAAATTGTGAAATCGCAAGAAGATATGTTTGACTCTGAGAATACAATTTTTAAGTATAATTGACATTTGCAATAATATTAATAGATTTTAAAGCTTTTGCTATACAAAACAATAATGAAAAGGAGCTACGCCTTTAAAATTGATTAATATCATCAAATTTGTAAGCAAACGATGCAGCTAGGGGCTTAATACGGCAAAAAAATTCACAGGAATTCACGTAAATTCACACTTTTGAATCGAGTGGTTATTGATGAGTTCG